AATAAAACTGTATAAACAACTCCGTGTCTGTGTGTTACTCGCACCCAACGACGCCACACGAGAAAGTAAAAAGAATTTATCTATGATAATACATTATAAATGGAATCAATTTTAAATGTCTGGATTATTACTCCATGAAGTGATTTAATTCTTCAATGTCAAAAAAACTTAAGCCCACAAGATAACTTAATCAAAACCTATACAATTTATTTATTTACTTTCTTATATAATTTTTTCTCATAGATTTCATTTAACTTAGCAGATAAGTACAGAGAAAACTGTTCATTTACAAGACAAAATGAAATTACCAATAAACATATAAGAAGAAAAATATCAAATTATTTACATAACTGATGTATCAATACCTCAGGAAATGGTGAATCAACAGCCCATTCCAACAATTCAAGATACGCCTCTCCTAAAGCAGCTTCTGTTAGCTTTTTGACCCCATCAGGAGAACTGTCCTCCACTTCAGTGGAAGGTAAATGCTTCAGCAACCATACTCGGGTAATAGCAAGTCCATCTACAAATAAGTAATACATTATGTGATTAATACTTTTTAAAACAAAATTTTTAAAAAGTTTTGCTTGATATCCAACGATACTGAAAAAGCTTTATCTTCCTTACATGTAAAAACCAGTCCCAAAGGCAATTTTCAGAGAAATAAATTGAGATTTAATTTGTTGGCAGAACTCTCCTAAATTTATGAGGATCAATCAAAAAGCTATCCATTCGCTAGGTCAAATATCTATTAAAAAATTACAAATAAAATTATACTTGCAAAAGGTACAGAACATAGTGTACTTGAATACCAGCATAAATTGCTGGCAACATTATCGTGGAATAAATGAAAATGTATTTACATTCTGCAACACTTTCATTTTCCAACATAATCCCCAAGTCTTTCCAAATCGTTCTCAAAATGCGGTATCGATTTTTGTGTGCCTCGTGCACACCACTCTACTCTCAATACATCTTATCCTGGTGTCCTCTGTCAACTTCTCATTGTGTGAAAAATACTGCTCCTAATTGACTTTTTGAGTTTGGAGAAGAGACAGGGCTAAGGCAGGTAATGTACAGATAGTGCTTTGATTTTTTCCATCTGAACTTTGCAAGTGTTCCTGTGCCTGGTGTGTAAAGGCAAGTTTTGTTATGTACAATCATTTAAGACAACACCCTCTTATTTTGGTCTTACCACCACACAAATATTTTTTTAAATATTTTATTTATTTAACAAATAGTAAATGTAAAGAACCCATCACAAATATCTTCAAACAAAATCACATTAAAACACAAACAGCGATAAACAGCAAAGATAGGGTGTAATGTATAAAGTTTAAATAACTGGACAATACTTTTACAACATACTTAATTTATTCCTACTGAAAACTGAAAATATTATTTATTAGGATCAACAGAACACAAAAGTTGTTTGTTAGTCAGTTTCTTAAATACAAACAATTTATTATGCACTTTTTTGTCATTTATTATTGCGATGTTGTGTGGACCCAGTTACCAGTTCCCTAGATTAACTGGAACCACCCCTGAATATAATGTTTCAGTTATATCTACTCTGTATCTGCTCCCATTCTCTGTCGATTGCACAAAATAGAACAAACAAAGGATTCACTCCCATACTCCAATACCTGAGGCTTCTATTTGGAAAGGCCCTGCCTCTTTCGGAAATTAATGAACCATTTTGGTCCAGACCATCCATCCCCAAACTTGTTATTTAGATTTACTTTTAAGAACATTGTACTATGTCCATAACCTCCCATCTTGAGAGGTCAAATTCCCTCTTTTCTATGAGTGAAAGACAGTAAGCCACTGGATCTTCAAAAGTAAGTGGATATTGAAGTCTTCATCTCTTTCCATTCTCAACCTCTCATCCCATGGGAGAATTCCCATTCTTTGTGTCTCATTCACATTGTGATGGAGGCTGCTTTGGGGAATACTACAGTGCACAGCAGCAGCATGAAGGCTGAAGTTTTAATCTTGAATGACCTGAGCAAGAACCTCCTGTGAGTCAGGTCCCTGATCGATCCCCTCCTTGAGCATTTTGGTTTATTAAAGTATATAAACAAGTAATAACCATGCAAATACTTCACTTTCAGACCATTTCCATTAAGCATGCACAGTTATAAAGATTATTGAATCCACAGGGTAATTGGGTCCTCTCCTAGCTCAGTTACCCTACTCAGCCATGATCTAATGGAATCTGGGACATATCCTGCCAAAAAAAAACAAATTTGTTTCACCGACCTCCAATTTAAAAACCCCATCTAAAACATCTCTCAAAACAATTCGGGTAACAACAGTTCAAATATTTTGAAAAAGTAGTTACCAACAGTTACAGGAGATCAGTCTGGTAGTTACAAGCAAACAATGTAACATTTTGTTATGTTCATAATTGGAGACGGATTTTGATCACCAAAAATGATCAATAAAAACACAACTTGCAAACTTTTGGTTAGGAATGGACCAGGAAATCTTTGTCTTTAGTTATCGTGAAATCTGCTGAACTGACAATGGTGCTGAAGGCGTCAGAGTAATCTTAGATTAGGTAGTACTCACAACTGCTCACATCTGAGCAAAGATATTGAATAGGCTACTTTGGAATTCTGTGAAAAACATTTATTGCATCCCGTAAACATTATTTGAAGCCAGTATCATTAAAATGATGTTAAAAGCTAAGAAATCCACAGAACATTTTTCAAGAATGATGAAAAAGGGCAAAAAATGACTTATTAGTCGGAATCAAAGAAAAATGCAAAATAATTTCATATAAAAATTAGTCATTTCCTTTTGTCATAACATAAAATGAATTTCTTTACTAAAAAGCACCATTCTAAAGAGAAAAGAAAATTACATTTCATTCAAATCTGCAGCCTATTCATAACGTAAAATGCTTTCTTCAACTTAAGAGAGAACCGTAAATGTAGTATGCCTTAGATTTCCCTTGGGCCTAGATCCCTTAAACATAGCATCAATTATAGTAATTCTTTTATAAATAATAATCAGTAGAATCATTATAAAACTAGTACAATGAGAGTCAAAATTAAAGAGTAGCAGTGATCACATCAAGCAACTTCAAATTGTTTACTGAAGATTCACTTGGCAAGATTGAAACAGTCAACATTGCTGCACAACTCGAGATTCTGATACAGATGTTATTAGAGGTATAATTTATTCTACTATTTTTAATGTTAAAGGAAAAAATAATTTGTAGTTTTCTTGTAAATGACTCGCAGAAACACTTGTGAACTTTCAAAATATCTCCAGAGATTATAATGTATAAAAAATATGAAGATGACAAACATTCTCCTTCATTATAGATACTGTATTCCAAAAGTCTTTCAAGATTCCACATATTAAATTTTGACATAGCTGTTTTATTAATGTCGGCAAGTGTATGTAGGAATTAGTTCTGAATTATTTTGATATTGTCAATGTTAGGTTCGGTATATGGAGTCCAGATGACAGAAGCATCCTCTAGTGACAAAGCCAGATATTCAAGAAGTTTATAGTTGAAACATTAGAAATGTTAACCCTGAAGTAGTAGTGTGGGGACTAAGTGTCCCCATTTGTAATAACTGCCAAATAAAATTGTATTGTCCTACTCTTCTGGAATTTACAGTATCATTTAACAGCCTTTTTACCTTCCCACTACAAAAAGAAAATCTGCTGCACACGTAAATGTGCTTAAAATAGAATGTGTTCTTTATGACGTGGATTCCCCCTCCAGATTCATTCGTGATACTACATAAAATTTAATTATTTGTGACGATCGTGAACAATAAGAGGTTAGTGACAACAATACTCAATAAAAATTAATATTACAGTTTACATTTTTCATACATAAATAAAAAATTATTGTAGAAGGAAAAGTAAGCAAAGTAATACATGATTTCCTTAGATTATATTGCATTTAAAACAATTAAAATAGATTTATAAATTTTAAAAAGTAATAACATTCATTCAGGGTATTACTCGTGCAACTTTTTCCGAATGATGGATTGAAGAAATGCAGGTAGAGTGGGGGCATAAGTTACAAAATCAGCCACTAGATTTTATGAAGAACTGTTAACCTTTGGAGAATCAATCATGCCTTCGCAATTCACAATAATTTGCGTTCCAACTTTCTCAGGAGTTTAAGGTATCTCCTGTGATCTTTGCCTGCTTTGGTCATTTCTTTAGATTTTTTGGAAAAAATAAGGGATAGAAGTTCTCATCTTCAAAAGAAAATTGTTTGTATTTCATGCCAGTGAAGATGTATTTGGAATGCTGACATCGGTGCTCGCTGCAAGCTTTTGCTTTTAACAGTGCCAGAGAGGGGGAAGCAAGGTCATCGTTCAGATCAACAAAAGTTGTGAAAGTAATAACTGAATATCAAAAAGAATATATTGCAAAATGACTATAACATATTAGCATGACTGGTAATGCCAGGTATCCCCACGTGACTAATACCATGAAAAGACACAAAACTTCCAAAGGGTTCAGTGTTATGCAGGATAAATCCAAGGTTCTCATGGTTATATGAAAGTAATGAAAAACTAGATTAAAATTGAACCTGCTGGCACATGATTGATTAATTAGTGTTTCAGGCTCATCAACTGCTAAAGTTATTAGTCCTGTAAGTGTAGTACACGGATTTGTATTGCGGGAGGTGGTGGTAATCTTTTTCCCGCTGGATGGTGAAATCCAGCACCAACCTACATATTGGCTATACAGGGTTTTCCCTAACCAGATATCTCCTTCCAGTGGGGCACCGCTTCAGCAAGGACAAGATCCAAGCTCCTAATTGGTCTCGCTACATGTATGGTGTGTACCACATGTAAGTGTGAGTGAGTGTAAGCAAGGGGTGAGGATAAGACAAGGAAGAGGAATGAAAGATAGTGTGTGTGGTCTGTGGCCCATTTGTTAGGGTACTGCTCCAGTAGTCACCTGGTGTTGATCGGAGAAAACAAAGAAAATTACCAATCAGAGCAGCTGGCCACTAGAATTTTACACCAAGCTAACTAGCTATTGTCAAAAACCCTACCACTGTCAGGACCCTCACCCTAGGACCTCCCGGTCAGAGGCATTGCAGTGACATCAACTGATGCCCAGATCCACCTAAGCCTGTCCTGCTGCAAAAAATGACACCTCTTTCTTTGATTACATTGCTTTATCATATCTTTCTTTGAAGTTCATTACAGATTTTCAAGGCTTATTGTTTATGTGTATGTCTGAATCCTCCCAAAGATTCCCCTTCAAAACAAAAATTTCATTCTCCATGGCTGAAGTGAAATGGGAGAGATAGTTATCAAACTAAAAGCTACCAAACAACTAATTAGCCACCCACAGTAATACAAATTTGTTTCAATAAAATATATTACACAAGAACAAAAAATTATGAAAATACAAACCTTGTTGAACAGCAAGAAATTCTTTAAACTTCTGTCTTTCATATTCTATACTCGAAGCAATAATGCCTGGCCGAATGAGCTGAATTGTAAAATTTACCATATCCAATCTCATTAAGTCAAGTAGCTGAAACAGCAAAAAAAATAAAAACACTTGTCAGCCATCCCTTCATGGAATTTATAGCATGCATGTATTTTTCAAATATGGTCACTAAAATACAATGTAAAATTTGTTCTCTTGAATTTTGTCTTTGTAATATTCAAATCATGTTTTCAACTTTTACAAACAATAAATTAAAAACAAGTCAAAATTAATTGGAAAAACTGTCTTTATTCAATGAGCGGAATTAGCAAACTGAGTATTTGGTTAAACAAACTTTCATGAAATGATTTACTCCCATGTTTAGGTTCTATATTGAAATAAATGGTTTGACTACGAAAGAAAAACAAAAATCATAATATCATTTCATTGGTTTTGTAAAACAGTCAAAAATACCAAAAGTATTTAACTTCATTATTTTATTTTATGCTATTTTTATTGTTTTATAATATCAATATAAAGGTATTATAATTTTTCTTTTTCTTTCATAGCTGAATTATTTATTTCAATATAGAACCTGAAGATGCGTATGAATCATTTCAAAAAACATTGTTTCAACAAATACAACATAAGTTTGTCAATTCAACTCAAAGAATAAACACTGTTTTTCAAATTTATGTTTCATTTTTAATTGATTTTTTGTAATAATTAAAACAGTACCTCAACAAATGATTTGTGTGCAAACTTTGCATCATACACAGTTTTCTGTACGTAAGTATATATACTAAACAGATATTTTCTTGATAATTGAACGCATAACTAGCCTTAGCAAACATTGGTTCAACTCAAAATAGAAAACTCTAGTCATGACTGTTTTATGGAAACGCTGGTTCCCAATTATTTTATTGTTTCTTCATCTTTTGAATTGCAAATTTGTTTACAAGGTTACCCTATTATTTTACAATTTCCTTGTTCTCTGTATTCTAAATATCTAAGTTAATATTTGGAAAAAGTTTTAAATTCAATTTTATAATGTTCACGTGAACTTTACTTGAAACTTGTTTGTAAAATTGAACCAAATTTGTAAAATATAAAAATATTTAATTTACAATAACATTGAATTTTTTTTAATGTTAGTAAGTAGGTTTGCATTGGCTGTTGAATGGGCAAGACTTACTTCTCCGAAAGTGTGCGGGTATCGTGGAAAAGCAGATAGTATATTTAGTATATACACATTCAAATACTTTCATAATATAATAAGTACCTCCAAAATTCCCTGAAAAACTTCCACAACATCAGTCATTTCTGTCAGTTCTTTGATCTTTTCATCTCGTGCTGGTGCACACATCTTCCCCATTAGTGATATAACGTAATGAGCATATTCCTGAAAACAAAAAAAAACAAAAAAATATTTTTTCTTTTGGTTGCAAAGTAGCATGAAAACAATAAGTACATGCACAAACTGTTGTTTACCTTAAAATTTAATGTTCCTGCCTCAACCTGCTGTTCAATAAGTTTAGAATCAAGTATTTCTAAAACATTCTGTTTCATCTTTGTGTGCTGAGGAAGTAGCACCGAAAGCAGTCCCTGCCATTAAAAAAATGTAGCATAATATTGAAGTAATTTGTAGTAGGGGTTAAAATGAATTAATGTGGTAAAAGCATTACCTGTTTTATATCTTCTAATAATACTAAAGCTTGAGAATAATTAGGAGGATCTTCATCTAATTGCTCTTTCAACAAATTCCAGAATGCTTTGTGCATAGTATCTCGAACTTGTTTGCGAAGACTGAAATATTAGCACACATTTGTTTTTGAAAAAAGATGTCTAACAATTAATGGAGGATCATGCTTGTCAAATGCAAACATCCTACCTGTTTTCTGGAGGATTCAGTTTTTCTAATTTGAAATCTCTATCTACTGCAATTTCGTGGGCAAGAACCAAGTTATTCATTCCATTTGCAGCTTTAATTATTTCCTCAAGAGAAACAAATTTTGGTGGAGAAGCTGGAACTCCAGACATGGCAAATGTTTGTGTTGTCCTCAGTCTTAACAAAGGAAAAATGGTCAAAATTATGCTGAAATTATTTTTCAATGCATAATAATACTAATGTACCTTTTTCCATCAGAAGATTCATCTCCACTCACTGAACTCTCACTAAAGTTACGCTGTCTTGATGTGCCACCTGCAGCTTCTTCTCTCTGATCATCAGAATTGTGGGATTCAGCATTGTCTCCCATTTTTGCTTAGAACTGGAAAAATTAAATAATTAAAAGGGCTGTTCAATTGCACAAAAGATTGCCAGTGATATAGATTTTGAAGATCTCTAAACATGATGTTATTAAGGGTATATTTTCATTAGTCAAGCACAACCAATCATGAAGAATAATGAGGAACTACAACTAATTGATACAAGTGAAAGTTCTGACTCTCTGTTTCCCATCTTATTCAACAATGTTGGTTTCTTTAAACACAAATGTTTCTGGAAAATAAAGTAAATGTTTTGGTAAGATTTTGATTATTTTTTTAAATTATTTTAAGTGATTTACCCTCTATATTGCACAAAGCAAATAAAGAAATGTTTTCTTGTTTAAATCACTACAGGTAATAGAAATTGATATCTTTCTCCATAATATGTTAAGGATGAACACGAGTAATTAGCAATTCTCCTAAAAGGAAGTCTTAAAAAGGGTCTTTTTTTGGCACAGAGCCGAGTGTTACGCATAAATCATTAATGAAGCTGAAGTGTTTTGAGTTCTTAATACTCAAGTTATTGTCTCTTGGTCTCATGATATTAAATCGATGTTCTCGTACGGACTGCTGTCGCAAAACGAAACGCGAACTGTCATTACGTACCGCCAAATAATATTTGGTGCATAATAGGGATGTCTCATAATTTAACAACTCATGACATTGAAATTGTTGTTTTATGTGAATACAAAACTACATCCGAATATTCAATTTATCGCCACAATTGCCAATATATAACATTCAGTAACTAAAAAATGCCATGAATATATCGAAAGACATTTTAAAACTTAACAAATTGTGGCTGACAGCCGTCATGCCACTCTACAACATTAGAACTACTAAAATTCTAGTTAAACGCACAATTCCATTGTTCTTCCGACGAGCTAAAACAAAGGAGTTCGATAACACAATTGGTAACAAATGTTTTTCATTACTAAACACTCCATAAGTAACTAACACGTATCACATAATCTTACCTGCAGTTAGCAGAAATAACTAAACAATAACAAGTGTGTGTTCCACGGAGAATTTTAGCGCCTTCGACTCTGCATTCAATCTGCTGGCGGCTAGTGCCTCAACCAGCTGTGTATGTTTATGTGCGTGACGTCAGAGCGACCGTGAAATGCTCCTGCCATAGCGAACTTTTAGTTTTGTGAGAGTGTGTGAAAGAGATTTCCTCTCGTGTTCTTGAGCGTGTCCAATCCCGCTTTCGTTTCGAGCTCTCGGGAAGTTAAGCAAAACCAAGCAGAAATGGCATTGGCGTTCGTCAGCCTTAGTTCTGTATATTTGGTTGCATCGAGGACTTCTTGTGCAATGCTTTCGCGTTCCACTTCCCTTTCCGTATTTTCGTTGTCTTCTCACTTCGTCTTTCTTTTATGCTAACTTTAGCACCCAGCTCTAACAGTGAGCTTATGAAATTCTATACCCCACAAAAACATTTTGTCGTATTTGCAAAATGATCTTCAATAAGTGACACATACTTAATTTTCACGAGTAATTCAATTCAAAAGAGCGGCAAATTGATGTCAATTTTCCTGAAAACGATTTTCTTTTTGTTGTGGATTCTGTGGAAACTCGACGAGATTCCATCGGAAATGCACGTTTTCGAGTCCCCTGATACAGAAAAGGTGTTGTCAAAACATCCGTCCTTGTGTGAACAATATTAGCGCCTAAACCATCTAGGATTTTTTTCCAAAATAAATATTCCCCGGGCGATCTGTCCCGACCCGAAGTACTACTATTTTGAAGAGCATTCTTTAAATTTTGGGGGAACTTTACATGAAGCCCCTGGGACGTTTTCTAAACTTCACTAAAAAAACCTCCATGTATTTCTTTAAATTTCTTGTAAAAATATATTTGAATACATTTATAAAGGTGGCAAAGGTTCGATTTTCACCGTCAACTCTGAATATTGGAACATTTTGACATTTGTTCGGTGTTTTCGTACTACTGTAGTAGTGAAGCTCGAGTATATTTAAGTATTAATTACGAGATGTTTTCATCAAATATGTGTTCTTCACAATAAGTAGGGCTATTTTAATTAAAATCAAGAAAATTTTGAGTAGTATATTAGTAGTTATCGCGTAATTTTCGATGAAATTTGTGTAATATTAACCACAAGATTTTCTCAAAATCGACTTCAAATTTTTTCTTCAAACTGTTTTTGGGGATAGTGCTAAAAGCGCTATATAAGATAGCGCAAACGCCATTTTGGTGTATTTTTTTAATTAGACAAATGTTTTGTTTTTAATAGATATCTCTAATGTCGTTAATATTAACAATATGGATGTTCAATGGTGGATTTAGGCATGGGCACTGTGGGCACTGACCCCTGGGCGGCCAATTTTTGGAGAAGGCAAATTGCCGTAAGTCCAAAAGGTTTTGTTTTTTTAATTCGAAAAATGATTTATTGACAGGAATTACAATTGTCCGTGTTGATTCAACAGAGGCACTAGTGCTCGGTCAGCTGGCCAGCGAATTACTATATCATGAATTTTTTAAACAAAATTATGTAAATTAATTGTTTTAGAACTATATCTTTCAGCACATGAAAGAGTATCTTTTACTTTCTCGCCTATACTTCGTAAGAAGACAGAGTTAATCGTGCACCGGAAAACGGCGAATTTTCGTCTGAAAAGCTTATTGCAAGTCCTCGGTTACGTAAAAATGGATAAATCTAGTTGCTAAATTTAGGGGGAGGGGGAATCTCTAATACGTGTACCCAGAACCCACGTTCTGTAGATCCTTGATATGAAAAAATCGATTGATCGCAAAACGTATGTGGTCAATGCTAGCGCCTAAACACAATCGTGTGTGAGACGGTCGTGGTTTGAATCATTTAGCCTATTTTCTTCAAAATTGATATTCCCGATCGATCTGAATGAACTCTACGCTTTGGGAGTTTCAAACAGATATTTCGATTTTTGAAGGTACTTTATGTGAAGCGTAAAAAACATTTTCAAAATTTTCTCAAAATGGCACTCATTTTTTTTTAAAGAAACTTTGCCCTCAGATTAAAGGACGCTTAAGAGAATGGTGCAGGCACAGAGTATGTGTCTACTGCGGGTGCAAGTCTCATTTTCGTTTAAATCACAGATATTTATGAAAATGACGAAAGTGCAGTATTTTGGGGACGTCTTCTATACTATTGAAAATGGAGATTTTTTCCTTAGAGAAATCTAAATGTGTGTGATAATTTTTCTCCTCAAAACCGCTCGAAATTTTTCTTTTAATTTTCCCCAGGGATAGAAGAAGGGATGCTGAAAAGAATGGCTCGGATCTCATGTTTATTGCACTCTGAATTTTCAAAAATTGCATATTTGGAAATAATGCGAGAAAGTTTATGCAATTGTAGTACCACTAGTTTTCTTATATCAATACGTTTATTAAATTACTGTCATTGAAGTAAATAATAAACATGCAGTAAATTGAGTATCGTATAAATTTTCATAGCTATTTTTTACTTCGATTCGTGATATTTCGGATAATAATAGTAGTGGGGAAATTGTTTTCATACCTCTGAGATAAAAGTGGATGATTTCGAAGGAAACAATCACGCTGATTTCGAAACTCATTATAAAGCGATTCTATCTCGCAAGGTTCAAAAGATATGCACATATGTAGTATTTGAAATAAAGAAAATCCTATACTAATTTCCTCAGTCACTCCGGTTATATTACTACAATGTTTTATGTGCATGCTTCATACGAGGTAAGAATAAGTTCAAAATAGAATACGCATATTCGTGCAATAATATGCAGACATTAAAATGATTTGTTGATATTATCCACAACATTAGTAGAGCGACTCACAATGATTTGAGTTTTCCATACCACCACAACCCAAGGTTCGTTGTACAGGAGACACAACACTGGTGAACAACCCATTAGTTTGTCCTGAACGACAGCCAATGTATAAAGAACAAGCATGTTTGGTAATTTCATTTTTTCTTTCTTTCTTTTGAAGTTTGGGTGTGAATCTATCTCAAATGTTACAGAAGTTTTCTGGTTGATTCACACACTTTCGATGTGAAATGATGATTTGCATTTTATCGAACCAATTCAATTCTTCAGATGATGTAGTGAATTTTACTTTATAAAAAACAGAATTGTAATATATTAATGTATTTGAGGCACACACAAACCAGACACAAACTTCTCGCGCACTGCGGTTACTGTTCTGCATGACACCGACTCAGAACCTGCCACCCCAACAGTCGAATACGTATACTTTCATAATACTTTAATAATGTAAGGGGTTATTATAATTCATTTCGGTGACATGCGCTGTAGGAAATACGAGGGTGCACATGTCTCATATTATATTACTTAGAAGTTTCTTCTGCTTTAAAAACTTTCTTTTCACATATTAATAAACAAATGAACATTTCTGAAAATGAGCCATTTCAATTTCATCAGCTTAATTTAATTCCAAACCTCTTGATATTTCACAACACATAAATGAGATTATTTGACACTATAAATGCATTCAATAAAAAAAATAAGGATAAATATAATTAACAATATACACAATATTGCAAAAAATATTACATGGGTAATTTTTTTTTGTGCAATTGTAATTTAATCAATGGCACTGAAGAAATATGAGTTTAGTGCATTGTGTTTTATATGAACAAAAGTTTAAAGAAAAAACAACTTGAGCATTTTTGGAAAGTCTAGTTTAGGTATATTTGGAAATTTCACAAGATACAGTTCAAAATTAAACCACAACTACTAAAAAAACCCATATAAAACATATTTTGAAAAACCCATACCAAACATAAGAAATTTCAATTCTGAAGAATTTATGACATTGAGAACAAAATCTCTAGCTGCAACTATGGAAATATAGGTCAGTTTGGAAAAAAAAAAATTATCTTTTGCAACTTTCTAAATTTTAAAGGTTTTAATGGAAGTCGTACTTTTATTGTATTCATAATCACACTTTTTGCTTTTTAAGCAAACAAATTAAGAAAAACATTTCGAGGCATTTCAAGATGTTTTGGAATTGTCCTAAAAGCCTACTCCAAAAATTTAAAGATCCTTTTCATATTGGTAGGGCATCGAGTTCAACTTTAGCAGTATTGATTAGAGAATGTCCATTAGGAGAAAATCGTGTGTATGGCTTAGAAGTGCTAGTGTTGCTTACAGATGAATGGATGAGGAGACAGACATTTTGAATGTGAGAGGGTGGGAAAGGAAGAAAAGAACAATTTCGGCATTACGCATCCATCAATTATATGTTAATTACACAACTTTCTCTAAACTACATTTACAAGAAAGTTACGAAGTAACTTTGGAGATAGCCCTATTAGACAATCCTCTCTCTGTTCCCATTCCCCAATTCTTAATGTGATCTTCAGATGTGTATGTTACTGTATCAATCTTGCGATCCTCTGTAGGGAATCGCTTTCTTATAGTCTCTTTAGAATTTCACACCCCACCCATGCATTTCTAGGACAAGAAATTTACCAGGATTCCTTTTGAATCAAATATTCATTTTTATTATTGAAGTTATAAAAAAGAATCACAGGATAACATATTATATCACAGGATAAAACTTTTAGGGACATGTGAAGTTACATTACTATGGATAAACAATTGCATTAATATCTTTGCTTGAAGATGGAAATTTATCTTGTTTTCAAGTAGCACCAAGAATTTCATCTAAAGCAATAAGTTCTCTGAATTGTTCTCGATGTTCACGTTTAACAAAACGTTCATATCCTAAACAAAATGATAAACATCTTAAACCATGTATTGAGTGTAGTTACTATGTAACAAAACCAAAAACTGTTACCTTTTAGAAGTGAGTGAGAGGACTCTGAATGAAATATGGCTTTTAGAGCCAAATGCAAATCCTTTAAATTACCGTTCTTTTTATAATCAGAACAGGCAATTTTAAGTTTTGAACAAGCATCATTGCCCAACTTATTTCTCACCTATTGAAGAATGCAAATGAAAAGATGATTACTATTCATCTAAGAAAAGTATTACATGATTCTTTGTGTACATGTATCACACTGTGATATAGATAATAATAATAATTGATGGACTATCTTACTTGTTTAACATAATCAGTAATAGACTCCAGTGATTCCTTTGGTTTGGCTGATGTTTCAGATAATCCTGAAGTTGAAGCACAACTACTTTGTGAATCTGGATTAAAAAATTTCAAAGGAACAATCTTCAATTTCCGTTTCTTCTGCTGCTGCTGCTGTTGTTGTTCACTACTGCTTATTGCACTGGAAGAGGATTTTGTTGTACTGGGTGATGGAACAAAAGTTTCATTGAAATCAATAATTGTCGTAGGCTTCTCTAAAGCGCCTAAGACTCCTACAGAACTCTGCTCCGATGATCCTATAGTGCTTTCTGCAGTTTCATTTTTGTCATCAGGTTTTAAGTAATCTTCACGTGACCAACTCATGGATGTATCATTGTCTTTTGTCTGTGAATAAGTTCTTTTCTGCCCGGATGTAACAACATCAAACGTTCCAGGCCCAGAGAAACTAGGAAATGAAATACTTGAAGATGGAGGTGGCTTCCCTTTAGGGGCAGGTAACTGAACAAAACAAATGCCTTGCAATTACTTAAATAATGAAATTCATTAGCGCAGTGTTCATTAGACAGATATATAAAAAGTACCTCTTTCTCGGCAGTTCGAAAAAATTCACGAATTGTCTTCACTAAAGGTCCAAATTCTGTGTATCTTTTTATTCGGGTCCGTAACCAAGATGACAACTGACCAGTAATAGATGGACTATCAAATCGAGCATCACATAACAAGATAAGTCCATAATCAGTTGAATGACGAATAACTCTGCCAACTGCCTGGTTGACAGCTTTGGTAGCTTCTAACATATACCATTGCATTCCACTTATAGTCTAGTCAATGAAAAAAATAATTACAAAAGTTAATCTCAACACAGGAAGAATTATTTTTTGCATCATGAAAATTACATCATTAAAATGGACATGTAAATGAGATAGGAGAATTATTCTTCAATTTATACATATTATGGTACAATATTATTATTATTCCAGTTTTTTTTGCACCACAATAAACATTAAGTGCACGGGGGACTAACAGCAGGTCACTATTTTCCAGAGCTCTGGGTGCTTGAGAGAGATTTTCTGAATCAATGGGATGGGCTATATGAGGACGGATGATCAGCCCACTGCTCATCCCTAAGGATCAGAGTGAGGACAGAGTAGGGAAGGAACGATACCATGCTGACTACACTGCTGTTCTAGCAAGTGGTCACGGAAACCACTGTTCAATAAATTCAATTCCGACAGGCACCACAAACTCACCAAAGTTAAACACATTAAGTAAATTTCTGACATCTTGTATTGAATCTCTGACGTCTCAATCACTGGTACACTTGATCCATAAGGCATTGCCATTAAGCTAGCCATCACAAGGGTTAGTGTTTACTAAAATATACAATATCAATATTAATGACATTGACAAACCTTTTTACCACTCTGCTGTATTTCATTGAGATACTTCTTCTTCAGTTCGACTCGAGGATCCTTAAAAGGTGGATATGGCAACCCTGTAATAACCACAGCTCGACCATTAAAATCTGCAAAATCTAAACCTTCAGAAACTTTTCCTCTTGTAACAGCCATAAAGCAGGCTCCTCTAGTGGCAGGATCTTGAATTTTGCTGTAATAACCATCCATAATTTCACTTAATTCATTTTTTGTACGGGGTTCCACAAATATTGGCTGTAATAATAATAATAATAATAATAATAATAATAATAATAATAATACAGTAATAACTATCATCAATTTTAACATGGCAAAATTTAATAAAACAAAATAAAAATTTATAATTTAATAACAAAATCAAGTGTTTAATTCATTTACCTTATTTTTTTCAATTTGAGACCAAACCCCGCTCAGCTGCCAACTTTCTTGACAGATTTTCATAAAACCATACGATGGAAAAAATACCAAAACACCATCAGGAATAACATAACTTAAGTTCACTAATGTGCGTCCCAATGATGATAAATAATTTGGATTGTTTCTGTCACAGGAACAAATACAGTTCAATTATAAAGTACCTGGTCAAAATCATATCAATCAATTATGTATAAAATGTTGTTATTAACAACTCAGAACGTCATAATTTATCGTAAAAAAGGCTGCTGATTTGCAGACCTCATGCTTTAAAATAACTCAAGAATTTTGCAAAAACAGCTTTATACCATCTCAAATATTATATCCATAATATTAACTAATATTACAAGAAATCACAAAATTTACTCAAAATGAAGCACACTTGGTGGTTGCATGCAACAACCACAATCACCAAACACTTTTTCGGTTAACAAATTTTAATTTTTGAAGGAAAAAAAGAAGAGGAAAAACCACACACACCAATAAAATTCAAATTTAATTATATAAATGAAGAAAACTACTTACCGAGTATTGAAAGATGAGTTCAATTCACAACCATCTGGACCTTTCTTAAGAATGGCCACCCGAACCTGTTTATCACCAACAATATGAGGATTTTCGAGGGTTTCTCTAACTTTTATCCCTAACTCTGAGATGAAAGACTCCAAAGGTGATAATGTTCCACTGGTTAAAATTAAGCAATGAATATCTTCTGCTACAAGGTGACCTATTCTAAGAAATTAAAAAAGCTAGAGAACTATCATATCCACAGAAAGCCGTTCATTCAATTCTCATAAAAGAAACAAAGGATGTTTATTTATTATATGTAAGTGAACAAATAAGAATATTACCCAAATTGAGGGCTGAAACACCAGAAGTTGACGATTTTTCCTTGGGGAGCTCTTGATACTGACCAAGAGTTCGCCTTCTTTTTATTATCTTCATCCATGCTAACATGAACCTGCAAAAATGTTTATGTGCATTATTGTTATTGTTAATATTATACTTCTTTTTATTACTATTAAAATGTAACAAGACTTTGAGCCTAGTAAGTTTGTTCCCTTTGTTACACCAGTAGTTCCTTTTCACCATCGAGGTATTTCAGGTTTTCCTGACTCCTCTTTACTCTTACGTTATTTTATTATTACTTTGTGATCCTGAAAAAGTTGTATTGATCTTGTTTCCGTTTAACAAACAAGATTTCCATTTCTGTTTGACAAACAAGGTCTTTAAATAAGTACTTGCCATTGTATTTCCTAATCATTCATAAATTTGCTTTCAGTTACTTAAGTCAACTTTAAAATTTTACACACATAGAAATATCAAAATACTTTTTGACATTGGGAATCATCTATTGCCAAAAAACTATTTTCTCTCTGTAGAAATTGCATCCAATTGTATCGTCCAACAACCTCACATACATTAAATTATTAAAACATTATGTTTTTCACACTACAAAATGTTTATTCCTCTTTTCACAAAATAATTGTTTCTTTTACCCAGCAGTAGTCCCACATGAGTGCAGGGAGCACTAGGCCTTCTTGCCAGCATGGATTAGATCGGGAGAGCACCTACAGTGCTCCAGTAAGGAACGGGTGAGGGATTAGGAAAGAAACTACTTTTCACAAACTGCTAAAATGAATTTTCATAAGACAACATAATTTAGAGGGGAAAAAAGAAAGGGGGAAAAAAAGAAAGAAAGAAAAAAAAAAGAAGGAAAAAAAACAAAACACTATATCATACAAAGAACAATTCCACTCTACAATGAGCCAAAAAAATATTATTCCAAGATGAATTTCCAGTGACTACATTCATGTAAATTGTATATAAAGAATTATTCTTTTTCGTGTTATCAAAAATCTATTTTTTCAGCATTTCTGGAGATAAACTTCAACATTCACTGATCTAAAGGGTGTAAATACTGTAAACACATGTCCAAGATTTTAATCACAAGTCTGCAACAAAATTGCTTGAACCTCCTTTGGCAACTCACGAGTGTGTGTTCCATTGTTTGGTGCACTCAGTTGAAAACTTCTGAAATTCTCTATATTTATTCAAATCCATTTTGGAAATATTTATGAACATTTTTATATATTATGTAAAGTATTAACTAAATGTTTAAAAAAATTGTGTACCTTATAGGAGATTTTCAGCTGCTCTGTATAAGAAGGGCAATCTTGTTCATATCGGAAGACAAGTGACATTAAATCAGTGAACTTTTGCAATGCTGAACCTTTACGTTGAAATGGGGAGGAGCCAGTTGTGGACAAATAAGTAACAATCTTGTTCAAAGCCTCAATAACTAAATTTCTTTTTCCAGGTGTCAACTGAAAAACACAACTTCAATGTAATTAAAATTTACACAAATAAATTACTTCGCTTAACCCTTACACAAATAGCATCTTCAGACCTTCTGCTGAGAAAATTGCCACCAGAAATTATAGAAAATTGCTAGTATATTTTTGTATCTCTGTAGCACTCACATTTAGGCATATCATCAAACATTTTTTTCGAAGAAGAGTAATGTAATGTTCTCTCAACCTGTCTAATTTGAGATAGATTTACATTGAGTCTTTTTGAAAAATATAATTCACAAAAATATGATTTCAATTTTTTCCAAATTCAAAATGAATTTTTGTCTCTAGAATTGTATATTTCACTTTTGAAAACATCATCTCTGCGATTTACCCCAAACAACTTTGAGGCTGGCCAACATAATTACTAATACAGTAAAATCTATCTAAACCAGAACCGGTACACATGGAAACATGCCTTAACTGGAAAATTTCTCCGGCTTGTGAAGTTAAATGGCATTCTACACAACATAAAATGGAATCTGTCCAATGTGGAAACAACGATTTTTCACGTCTGGCAGGGAGGAAAATCCTTTATGAAACAGAATTTGTGTGAATTTAATGGAATTAGCGCAGAGAGTTGCGAGATACTCTTCATGGAATGAATGCATCTGTTAGTCTGTTTTAATTTCTCTGTTCCAGTGTTGTGAGTTTCAGTCACGGCAGATGCACAGTGAAGGCAAGAAGCTTCAGTAGAATTTGACCTTGGAGTCGAATGTCTCTCAGGGCCTAGGCCCTAGGGGAATTCCTTCTCTCCTGGCTCTCTGAGCATGGATACTGCTTGTATTCCCTCATTCACCAGCCCCACGTTTACAATCTTAACTCCTTGGCAGGAGCCACATTGGTCAAGGCCATGTGAGGGTAACAGAAAGACATAGTACTCTGGGGTATCATAACCTAGTTCAATCACATTACGCATTGAAAGAATCAACAAGCAGACCAGGGCAGACACTACGTATTGTGGTGTGTTTTTTGAGTTTCACAACCATGTTAACAATGGTTGGAAAAAACCTTTAAACTGTAAATATTAAAATTTTTCTCCTTCAGAAAACATAATTCAAAAGGTCTTAGTAAATGGGATAACAGAATTACCAATAGAACAAATGTCAAAGTGGACAACCCTGTATTAAATGGAAACTTTAAACCGGAATAATGTTTTGTCCTGATCAATTCGGGTTTAGACAGGTTTCACTGTACCTATTTTAAACAAAATCCACTGTGCCATTTCCATCATTCCTGAACCATCTGCAGACGAAGAGGCCAAACTAATATTAAGTTAAGCAAGGTAATTTCTAAGATTGTGGGTCAGTTAGTCACAACTTTTACACCTCTTTCACTCCTCTCAAACCTAGATTCATTGTCATTCAATAATTCAATGACCCAATTTTTTCTTTTCTCCTTCTGGTTTTAAACGTTATTTAGGTTCCTCTGTGTTTTACAACATATTCTTACATCTGCCTTCTGCAATAATTCAAACATAAAGTTTCCAGGATATGTTGATCCAGGAGGCAAGTCATCAACTGCTTTTTCAAGTTCTAAAAACAGTATTTTAAGCAAAGTCAGGTCATCTGCAGTGAAATCAGGAGGTTGTGATTCATCATCAATTAAACTAAATCCACTTTCTTGCCTTTCAACTAAATTCTTCATAACCTGAAACAAGATATTGCTACATAAGCTGATTGAACACAAGATGATATTGGATTACTGGTTCATTATTTCAGGATTCAACAATAATAAATTAAACATTAGTCTCACAAGTAAAACATAAAAGTTATGACATATACCTGGGATATTTCCTCAATACACATTGCAATATCAGTATTACTAAGAGAGTGTGACACCGACTCTTCACAAACTTTCTCAATATTGTGTGCTTCATCCAAAATAATAACGGAATTCTGCAGACATAAAATTCAAAATTAATTCAATTTAAAAAAATGTGTGATGTATGGGGAAAAAGTAACTATATTTGTAATCACAGACTAGGAATTTTTAATACTGAAGAAAAGGGCAGAAAAATAAATAGGAAACAAACAAAACCAATGAGTGACAATTCGGTAGAAACACTGTCTTCAAATTAAAAATCAATTTCATTTGGACCTCTTAAGCCATATTGGACATTCATAAATTTATGAGTGTATTGACAGCGGATTGGAAACTAAACAACAAAGACTGAACACACATGAATTACTGAACATATTGATAAGGTTATAAGCCCTTGTTTCCTATGCCATAATTACAAGATAAAACAATCCACACGACAAACAGTTTGAACTTTCTAACTTCGATTTCACTTTGTGCTAGATCCAATAGGTAAACTAGTATATCTGTAAAGAAGTAATTGCAACCACAGGCATAATTTTAATGCAGAACATAAATCAATAGCATGGCATAATAAATAAGTTCAAAAAAGCGCAAAACATTGAAATTACTGTGACTAAGATATCCTTCAGTTCTTTGTAACTTAATGATAAGTAGGTAATGGTATTTATTGAAATAAAAAAAAAAGGAAATAAGTACTTCAGTTTTGTAAAACATGTAAGAAAGAATTGAAAATACATAAAATACAAATCAATTTTTAAACTTGTTCCTTACAAGCATATTTTAAAGAAAAAATATTGCATATCAAGGCTTAAAATGGATTCACAAGGACTGAACAAACATTATCTTTCCCTATATCAACAGAAGTAATTTGACACTAGTCTATACCACACTCTGTAGTTATATGTACAAAATACATAGATATCATATACAATGTTCATTATGAGGACCCAGTGCGCATGTGAACAGTCATACCAGACAGCCAGTGATGGCTCAGGTCTGGGAAGGACCACCACAACACAATATAACATTTTTGTAATTGGTCTTAATTTATTGAAGTCAATTTCCACAAACTGATTGCATGATGTTCAAAATCATCAATTAATCTCATTAAACTTGCATGGACAGCATTTTATGAATAGATTCTGAATTCTGCATCCATAAGGGTGCATATTTCTCAATCCAATGAAGAAAGTATGAAAAGGCAACAGTCAGTAAGAAAGGTTTGTCAGAATTTAATTCAGATACCCTTGAGCTTCGTAAATCATGAGCAAGCATGTGACTGCAATTACTACTACTTCACAGATATCCACTCACCCTTGATTCTGAGTAAAGAATTTTTGAGAAGTGGCAAGTAAGTTTGACAATGGACGAATGTTTGGAGATCCTAAAAGCAGAGTACTATTAATTTTCCAATCCAGAAACATATTTGAATTGTTCAATTTTGACATGTAAATAAAATAAAATTTAACAAAACAAGTAGTAATAGGTAAAATATGTAAAAATATATACTTATACCAAAATATGTTCAGTAAAAATTATTTTAATTCATCCAGAAAAAAAGTACCTTGTATCTATCTAAAAAGTATTTACATGTAAACCCGTTCCCTAGCAAAGAGCAATCACAATATATTAAATAAATTTATAGCAAAATGTAAGTTCTCTGATTAGGTTCCTTCTACCCCAGACAAAATACTATGTTAGCTACAACAGCCAAACATACTCGTCTAAAAACAAGTCTTTTTAACACACAATAGAGAAACAATCTTATTGACATACTTACAGCAAGTTCAAGACCTAAATTTTTTCTGGTTTTTGGATCCAGCAAATAGTTGTATGGCATGAAAGTTATATCAGCTGCAGTATTGAATTCCCTGGACATATAATACGGACAATATTGCAGTTTGCGGCCTAATTTCACCAAGTCTTCAATGTCAATGATATCTTGAATCCCTAGGACTTCTTCTTTCTTCTTATCAACATTATTGTGAAAATGGCATGTTTTTGATTTTGTTTTTACTCTGCATAAAACAGTCTGCACATAAAAAATATTTTTAATAATCCATAAAAATCTGCCTGTCACTGATCTTATTTTATGATCATGAATGTCACTGATCTTATTTTACCTTCATTGCATTGCTTTCTTCTTTTGACACTTCTGGATGGATACACATTTGATCTCGTGACCCAAGAACAGATACTTTCATATATTTGTATGAAGTTCTTTTCAATTCTTGAACTGCTTGAGTAAGTTGAGAATGTGTGCGAGATGCATAAATTATCTTTGGAGCACCTTAAACCACATTTACAAAGATAAGAAAGCAATTTCTTGTTGATTTTATATACTTTTATATTGTAATACTTACGAAATAAAAGACTAAGTTGATTTTGAGCAAGACCCATTCCTTCAAGTTTGTCACCATTATTTCCTGCCAGGGTTGAATTTAATTCTTTAAGTGTTTCACTACAACCTATGTCAGATACTTTTGAAAGTAACTGAGCTTGCATTTGAGCTTTTCTGTGAGTTAGCCAAGCACAAGAAGCACAGAGCAAACTAAGAGTTTTACCAGTCCCAGTAGGGGATTCAAGAACTCCATTTCCACCCTACAAAAACAAATAACATACAGTTCAACTTAAGTTGTTGATACACAAGGGCACCCAAACAAATATATAATTTTTTAAATGCATGAAATAAAGTATTAAATCAGAATTTTCAAATACTTCTCATATATTGTACTTACTGCCTCTAAACAGCTGATCACTTTCTCCATATATGCAATTTGCACATTGTAAGGTTCAAATGGAAAATTGATAGGAATACCTCTAATGATCACTTCTGGCATGATTGAAATGTATCAATACCACTTGTAAGCACTTCTCAACTTTTTATTATATTATTTTCAGAGAATTGAAGCTGATTTAATTCACTATTAATAAAATACACAAAAGAATTAAATTAGAACTTAGTTCCCTTTGTATAAGCAGAGTTGGGGCTATTAAAAGCAAGAACATGCACCAAACTGTATTCCGCGCTAAAATGGTGCAACAAGAGTATTCTGGTACAACTATCGAAATTTTAGTGTCAGCAAATACACGATGCGTTCTCAACATATTCTCCCTCTTCTTAAGCAATGCCGTCGTCTATAATACTTGTTCATCTACATAGTTGACATTCCAAACTGCTCCGTTCTCACAATTCCTTGGTCCTTACCCCGGCCTATCCGTATCCCACTCTTTCCCGCCAGAGAGTAATAGTCGATTCGTCTCCGATTAAAATATACGGCACATTAACAGAATCTGTTGGGACACAGTTATCCAATCGAAATATTTGTAATATCGTAATTTTTTATATCAATACTTCTGATTGGATAATTGTGTCCCAGCTGATGAGATGTCAATGCGCCGTACGTTTTGTTCGGAATATACACGTGACTGTGATTTCGTAGTAACTAATTCGACTACCATTAGCGCTAGGGTATCTGTTCTGGGAATTTCAAACGCATCACAGTATCAATTAAAATGTACCTCTGTGATAATAGTATATTATGAAAATAGTTTATAGTGTCATAATATACTATTCCCTTTCATTTCCCTTTCATTTTTTTAGACAGCAGATAATTACATAATTATTTCGTACTTTGAAACTGAAGAACTTAGACGTAAAATCTAATTTGTATTGAAGTAAAATAATTATATAATTATCTTCTGTCTAAATTTTTTTGAAGGGTCTGGTTCTTAAGAGAAGTTACGAATAAGTTGACGTGTGGAAACGTGCGATGCAGTGGCGGTCTCCCTTAAGGTCTCCAGGGCGGCGCCCTCCCCAGAAAAACCAACCTCGGGAAAAGTTGCAGAAAGTATTAAACTTGCAATGAATCGACTCGTTTAATTTGTTCATACCAACAGCGCAATTTTTAGGACAAATTTAGTTTTATAGTGTCCAATTATGCGAAAGATAAATGTTTTTGGAATGGGTAGCATCGGGGACTATCGGGAGTCCGTCCGTAATATAAAAATATTACGGTTTGTTCGGCAGAGCCCCCGGATAACAACAAAGCTAAGAATACCGGCCTTTTCGTTAGATTTCATAAATTACTGTGTTGTTTGCTGAATCAAATTGCAAAAAATCTTATTTTCAGGTCGGTAGTACCGTGTTTACGCACGGATCCAAAGGACCCGAAACCAGGGCCCCAGATAGTTCTTAAAAATATTATCTAATACTAAGTTTTCAAAAGATAAAATAAAGAAACGTTTAAAAAAGTGATGATAGTGATGTAAGTGATGATCGCAAAAAATTGGCATAATGGAGTGATGTGTCTCGCATCATTGGATAATATTTAGAATATGGAATGTTACTAGTTGATGCGTTTAAAATTTTATAGTTTTATAGTTAGGTAGTTTTCCGAAACCAAGACCCTTGGTGTATTTATCGACAACACCCTTAGCTGGAACTCGCAAGTAGTTTCAACCTGCCGTCAAGTTTTTGCCTCAATGCATTCTCTGAAACGCCTAAACTTTTACCAATTAACACACGTGAGACTCATCAAATTACTTATTATACTACATTCGACTATTATGACTTTCTTCTGACCAGCATGACATTTAAATTACAATGTACACTTCAAGTAGCACAGAACGCACGCGTACGGTTTATTTTTGATCTAAGAAAATGAGGCCATGTATCAATTTTTTTGTCAGACCTCATGTGCTTACTCTCGCAAAAACGGTTACTCCACTCTCTACTTCTTCTTTATAAAATTGTAATCAGTTCTCATATAACACGCCTTAAATGTAACTTCAATCCTCTGGAATTAAATCGAGCACGTGTTTCAGCTCTACTTTTGGGTAACACATCACACGGCTTCGTTCAGTGGATTAATCACCATTACAGCTCTCAGAACCTGAAATACACTACCAGCGATTCTAAAACATTCAAATACTTTCCGGAAATCCAAAAATTAATTAAATACATGAGTAAGAAATAATATAGAATGGTGTTAACGTCTTCTTCAATCTCTAGAATTTTCCCGCTTCCAAAAGGCTTCACCGCCCACTCACCGCCCGCTCCACCGCCCACTTCACCGCCCGCTTCACCGCCCGCTTCACCACCCGCTTCACGCCCGCTTCACCGCCCGCTTCACCGCCGGCTTCACCGCCCGCTTCACCGCCCGCTTCACCGCCACGCTTCACCGCCCGCTTCCACCGCCGCTTCACGCCGCTTCACCGCCCGCTTCACGCCCGCTCACTGCCCGCTTCCCCGCCCCCATTAAACGTACTTCCTCACTATCTAAATTCAAATCCATCCTATACTCTATCTTCAAACTCTCACCTCATTTTCCATTCCCTGTCACTCCAGTAAATTATTAACAATCATATATTTTTTCTGTGTATCCTAATGGAATTGTTTAAATAAAATATACAAAAAGTGATTAGAGACGCTCCAGATAAAATTTACCTATAGCTTTGTCCGCTATCATACTTTTTATTACAATATATTGGCATAAATACAATTCATGTTAAGATCCAATTATACTTTTATATTGATCCTTAATACTGTCAATATTGTATTTTAAATTATTATTACTATTAACGTACAGTGCATTGCGCTTCTCTGGTGTTAATAATGATTTTATCAGTATACATTATACGATTAAAGCTCTTGAGTGTGCGTATGTGCACATGTGTGGATGTGTGCGATTCCGTCACTGGCGGCTAGACCACTTCTCTTGCACCAATCGAGACGTATAAGGTCTCATTCGGAGCGTCTCGGTCACCTGAAGGGGAACTGATAATTTGTTTCCGGATCCGGGCCCGAAGATTCAAATAAATTTCCAAAAACGTGTTTTTCGTGTTTTGGCGCAGCGATCTTAATGATAAGGACAGGAATTAAATCAAACAAAATCGATTTATGTAGGTGGCACTGATTAGATACGAGTACACAAACAATTTTTTTTAGCAAAATACGCCATAATTTTCTTTCACGATATTCGCAACACTAATGTTGACATTTTTAAGTGAAGAATTGAATTACTAAGTAAATCACGCTGCAGATTGATTTGAATTTAGATTCAAATGATCGTAATTTAAAAAAAAAATTGCGAAAACCTACAAAGAGTTTTACCACAGAACTTATTAAACTTAAAGAATTTCACGAGAATATGGAGAAAACAAAACTGTGAGGAATGCTAGAGAACGTTATGTTCGACTTCTCCCTTTTACGTTCTTACGTAAGTGTGCAAATACAGATTTTCAATTAAATGTGATCTACAACTCATGTTTATTAAATTTAACTAACACTTTATTCACAAACATACAAAACAGTCGCCTTTTGCGCACCCAGACACACCTCGTAAATGTACAGCTTCTCTTCCTCTCTCTGTCTCTCTTTCTTTTTTCTCTTTAGGATTTTCTTCTTCATTTTCATTTATGTTTCCCTTCCTTCATTTTCCTTTCTCTTCCATTCTTCTCTGTGTATTGATAATGTCCGACACTATTCTAGCCCCTATTCTTATTGAGGTTTTCTGGGTTTACTCAATCGCTTAAGGCGTATTTCGGGATGGACACTAGTTTTGCACTTCCAGACGTAAATATACAGCTTGTCCTCCCCCTCTTAAAATGTTACTACTCTATATTAATGCAAATTCAATGGTTAGGTGGAAGAGTAGGCTCTATGGCCTAAACCTCGCCATTAATAAAGATATTATTATTATTATTATTATTATTATTATTATTATTATTATTATTATTATTATTATTATTATTATTATCCGATGATGGTTTAACACTGTCCGGCAATATTGAATGAGTTGTTGAGAATAGAACAAGTGATGGTCCTTTCCTGAGAGCTCCTCTATGTTAAGGGCATTATCGGAGGAGCGATCAACAATTTGAGATGTTGAGAACACTTTTGACGATTCAGTCCCTCACCCTTCCATACTATTAATCACGCGGTATCCAATGTAATGACTCTTCGGCTTCTTAACTTAATAATAATTACCTGGTTTTCTTCTTCAGCAAACGTTATCATATCCTTTTTAATATATTGATCATTTGTGGTGTTGTGATGTTACAATTATATTTATATTTATGATTATTACGAAGGGATGAACAGCCGGCTTCGTTTATAGCGAAGCACTTGCGATTAACCTTTTTACTTCACTATATCAGAGGTTCACAATATCCGATTCTGCTAAAATAAATAGGTTTTTACTCTATGTATGATTTAATTTTTTCAGAGGTTCAGTAAAATATCCAAGCACATAAAATTCAAAATTTCAATATTGAAATTTAGCTTTAAATTAATATTTTAGTCACGTTGGCCGGATACAGTTTTTATTAATGATTTTTGCAAATCCTTCTCCATAGTAAGTGCTTTCCCTTTTCTGGGCACCGCCCCATCCAGAACAAGCTCTAAGCTCCCGACCGGTCCCCTGGCATGTACGGTAGTATAGTGTATGTAAGTGTAAATGTGTGTAACTAAGGAGTGAGGATAAGTCAAGGAAGAGGAAGGGAAGATCGAGCGCGGTCCGTGGCCCGTTGGTTAGGGTACTGCTCCGGCATTCGCCTGGTACTGATTGGAGAAATAATGGAGAACTACCGATCAAAGCAGCCAACCGCTAAAACTCTCCTCCAGACACTGTCTGAATTCGACCTCTCTGACAAGCTAGTGTCGAAAATCCTGCCACCGTCGGGACACGAACCTAGAACTTCCCGGTCAGAAACACTGCAGTAACATCAGAAGATGCCATGAGCCACCTCCCCCGCAAGAAGTTTAGACACCGGAGGTGGGGCGATGCCGACCAGCGGATGAGAGCTGAAGAGGACGGCAATTCCTAATCGGTCGTTTCCTTGGTTTGTCCGTTCCGGGCGGATGCTGAAGTATGAGATACATTCTAAAAGGGTCACGGACAGCGCGATTCTTCCTCATCCACATAGTAGTAGTAATGGACCAATCCTTCTTTTTATTTTTCATGGGGTATAGGATTCCTTCTAGTGGTGAGGACCTTGAGACTCAGAACTGGGGTTCGAATAAATAAATTGTAGCTCTAATGATGGCACGGTAATGGAGATGATGATGGAGACACAGTGGACGAGAGGCGGGGGAAACGGTAGTACTTCTGAAAGCCTGCCGAGAGTTGCCTTGGTCCACCACAAAGTATTCTTGCTATTGTCCGAGGTTCGAGGGACCCAGTGGTAAAACTACGCACTAGCCACTACGCCCCGAGCCCCTCCGATCCCCCACCCCTATCTGGCCCATTCTGCGTTGATCATCGCCGGGGTTCTGAAGTACAGCGCTTCGGCCTCCAGGGCTTGCCAAGCACCGGAACACTGTGCTGCTCCAAGCCCCTGACACCAGGCAAATGCCGGAGCAGATCCCTATGAAAGGACCGTCGACCGCTCACGATATTTCCTTCCTCTTCCTTGCTAATCTCTATTCACTCACAACCACTTACATTGGGAGCTTATCTCGGCTGGGGCGGTGGAGGAGATACCTCCAAAAGGCCTAGAGTTTTTTTTGTTTCCTTCTTTTATTTGGCAAAATTGATTTAAATATATATGTAATTATTAAATAAATATTTTATTGGGTTATATATGCACTACAAAAATCATACGGAATATAATAACAAATGTTTGTTATTTAACAAAAATGTATGTTGGTCCCCCACCCCGGACGGCCCCTAGATCCGCCCCTGAGCGAGCCTGGTGTTAATAGGCGGCGGTAATCGCGCGGCGCTCGCGCCATCCCGGTGCGGACCGGCGCGGGGCGGCGCGGCACGTGGCCAGGTGCAAAGGCGCGCCCGTGGGCAGAAAGGGCTCATCACGAAAAAGAAACAGCGAACCGACCACCTCCGCGGCGCCTCCGCCTCCGCCGCCGCCTCCGCCGCCGCCTCCGCCGGCGCTGCCATCGCCGCTGCCTCCGCCGCTGCCTCCGCCGCTGCCGATCCGCCGCCTCCGCCGCCTCCGCCGCCGCCGCCGCGGCGTGGAAATGATCAATCACGGGAGCGGCCTGCAGGGTGCGCGCGGTCGGGACCGAACAGGAGGCCTTTTCTGGGAGAAGGGCCAGGTGTGCAGCACTCGACTGCAGAGGCCGACTGGCTCCTTGCAGCCGTCATCCGCGCCGCCATTCTGATGATTTGGATATCGACGACTACTTTCGTTGATCGGAGGGTTTCAAGTTATTTTAAACTGTGAATTACTTATATGCACGAATACGTTTTTTAATACCTTTTTTATAAGAAGATGGTACTACGAAAAGTATTGAACGACATACCGCCGAAATAACAGACTTGGTTGGTTATAAACCTTTGATGTCGCCTCGGTTTACAAACTTAAAACGTGGCTGTTATTTGGTGTTTATCGGCCTAATAACGTTAATAACTATAATGATATAGATTTACAAACGACACGTTCTGATATTTGCTCCAAAACGGACTAATAGATCAAAATAATGATGAATGACTCTGATTACTTAAAATACCGCCCAAATAAACCTGTGAGGTATCTGATTACACGTTCTGTCATGAGTGAAATATGTAGATCTCACATTGAAACTGAATGTAATGTATAAGGACAGTTTTTAATGAAATGGCATTTTTTGCTTTTCATTTTAGAACAACACCTTTCAGTACAGAAATTAATTTTATGCTATGACAAAGGGAAATTATCCACATTTATGACATTTTTTTAAAATTTGTCGATTTCGAATATTAAGTTTTTTGTTGTATTATTTTGCATTTTTCGTACTTTTTAAAGCATATTTCGCTGACTTTATCGATTTTAATAGTATCATTTTCATGGTACTTGCTTCAAATCATTTTTATGGGATGCAACAAATGTTCTCCATTGAATTCGATTTCTTCGCTCAAAAATTGTAATGACAGGCGTTGCATGTCATCTAAGGTTACTGAGACGTCTCTCAGCTCCATTGTCGGTTTGTCCGATTTTGTGATAACAATTGACAGAGACTTCCTGGTTAAGAACCATCCAAACAAAAAGTTTGCAAGTTGAGTTCACTTGAACGAAAGGAAGAATCTGCTATTGCATTAATGACAGCCAACACCTTGCGTTTATATTGAATGATGAAAATTTACATTATTTTTCTTTGCTTTTAGGGTATTTTAAAACTTTTTAAGAGCATTTTATTGATTATTTTTGGCGATGTTTTAGGTCATGAAAATTCGCCCCTGAGTGATGTAGGTGCGATGTGTACGGAGGTGTCTACTTCCGGAAAACATATCCAGTTCTGATGTACGATAAGGGCGTCCTCCTCCTGAGGTAAGTGGGTAGAGCGTGGCGGCGGGCTGGGGGCGGGGGGGGGCGGTTGGGCGGGCGGCCGCCCCGAGCCCCGCAGGTTGCGAGGGCGGCTTGCGGCGGGCGATTATATAAGCCCTAATATACCGCGGCGGGCGCCAGTGCACGCCCTACGACCGGTCGCGGGCGGCCACAGGCGGAACCCGGCCGAGCAACGCGCCCCGGCCCCCTATGCGCACGTGCTCTTCGGCGGAGCAGGGGGCGGCGACGGGGGCGGCCGCGGACGTCGGAAGGGACAGTGAGTACGCGAGTGCCCGACATTCTCCTTCTCAAGTCTTCTTACTCAAGTGCACTCAAATTTTATTTGAGAAAAGGCGAAACTGATAGTAAAGTGCATTTCACTATCTGATAGTAACTTCACTATCTGCGCACGTTCTCTTGAGCTCTCGTTTCGAAAGGTGCCATAGAAGTGATGTGATCAGCTATTTTGAAAGATGTACCATCAAAATCAATCTGTTGCTTGTTGATCATCTTGTTTCTTTTCACGTACTTTTGTACTACACGAGTGAGAACGTTTCTTGAAATAAAGTGTTGTCAAGAATGCTCGTTGCTTCCTATATTCAAAATAAGGTTAGATATAGTAAAAGAAACGGTATAGATTTCGGAGCTGAGGAAGCAGTGCGCAGGTTGTGGACCTCCGAACATCACATACATTTTTTTAAGGTTGGCGATAAATACAAATAAATAAATTAATCAATCTAGGTAGACCACTGCGAGCATTCCACACATTGTAAATCATTGTTCTAAAAGTGTTCCTCACTTCAGGCCAGAACCTCAACTGCATTTTCGGCCTGTCACAGCGGGCTTATTAACGCTTAAAATTAATTGTACGTAGATATCGACTTTCTTCTCGTTTCTGACCACCCTGACGAGGTCTTTTGAAGAGCTATCTTTTCATTCTGTTCTTTGCTGCACCTGACCACCGCCATGTTTCTCCACATACACGCTCCCCTCGCATGTCCACCACATTCCCTGGCACATTCACCGATGTTCCTTCCCGACTTTCCCCCTAAATCTTCCCTTCAAATGATGTCCCCAAATGTTCCCCTCCAAAAGCTTCCCCAAATGTCTCATCCCAAAAGTTCCCCCCAAATTTTCTCCCAACGATCCCTCAAATGTTCATTCTAAATGTTTCTTCCAAATATTCCCCCATATGTATCATCAAATGTTCCTTCAAAAGTTTTTAAACATTTTACTCACATATTCACTGTGTGTTCCTGCACTTGTTAATTTCGAAATTAAACTGCAAGTTTACAAAATTACAATAATTTAAAAATGAAACGGGAAGTTTTGAATAACTGTAGTTCTATCCAGATGGTCCACAAGAGCAAAAACCTTCAAAATATGTAATAGAAGTGTCCCAAATATTTTCCTTGAAGTATTGCAGAAAAAAGAGAGAACATTTTAAACCATTGTTTTAAATGTGAAAATAGCTTCACACTGGAACCGAACTTTCAGCATTTCCGGTAATCTGTGCTACTGAGTAATGGAACCCTAAAAAATGTATTAAATTTAGGTTGGAAAATATAACTTGTGTCTCATGTAGCGACTTTGGTTTTAAGGCCCTGAATTTCAAGGGTCTAGGACGCATTGTTTTCGAGTTACGCATGATGATCAAGTCTGTTGCATCATCGGGAGATTTGCGGGTGGCAAGTGAGCTTGAAAAATTGAAATATGTGCGCCATTACCAGCCTTTTTTATATTTGTCGTCTTAATTCTCTCCTGGGAAGTAAATCCCTATCCAAAAGTAATACACTTACGGGTTTTGTGTCCATGGTTTCTTATAAAAGGAATTAATCTGTTATCTTTCCTTAGCGTCTTGTGTATAGAAAATGTAAGTGCGAGTGTGTGTGTTTATGTGTGTGTGTACTATATACATTGGTAGAAAGATAGCCATTATTTCTGCATGTAGGTTTTTTGAAATCTGATGGCAGAAGTCTATCATTGTCATACAATTAAATATATTTATACATTAATATAATATGAAATAAAATTGGTTTGAAATAGTACTACCTAGTAATACAATAATAAAAATATTGATAACAATAATTCTAAATGTTTGTGATTATCGTATATAAATATTTTAACGCATTAAACAAGGTTTTTTTAAATTTATACTTCACTTCACATCATAACTCTTCACTTCTTCCTCCTTCTTAATTTCACTCCAATTCACACCACGACACAACCCTTCAATACAGGCAAGACATTAATACTCATTAGGTTATGTATTTATTAACAACCAAAGTAAATAGTAGTAACAATAGTAACTGCCTAAGCTAAGAATTAATGTACTATTATTAAATACTTTATTTTTGAACTTTTGAACACGTAAAGGTTGAAAGATTATCGCAGGCAACTTATTCCAGTCCATAGGAGTTCTGTCAGTAAAGTAAAATTTTCCAACATCTGATCTCTAAACCCTCGACTGTATTTTTTTCATGTGATCCCCTCTATTAAAGAATTTTCTTTCCGTGATGTAATTCTTTTGAATAAATTCCAAAAATGATCATGTGCTTCTCGGTATAATGCTTGTTATTGAAAGCCTTAGAATTTTTCTCTTTATGCGTCCAATTTTCAAGTTACAAGACACAAACGTTTGCAATGGATAATCAAGACTGCTCTTTAACGCGTTGCAAATTTCCTCCATTGCCCGTCTTTCCTTTGAAATCTATCGTATTGTTCTGTCAGATAATATGTTCCCGTATACTATTCTCCATGCACCGTACATTTGAATTGTATTGTTTCAGATCTGTTCTCGTTTTCATTCTAACTACGTATGCTTCAAAGTACTTCACCTACTCGCATATTACTACATAAGAATGACACCTTTCAGAAAGTGTGTTGCAGTAACTATTGAGCGGTGGGGGATGGATAGTATAAAAAAGTATCTTTAGCAGCAACTGAAGAAAGTAAGTCACATTCAAAACAAACATATATATTCCATTTATATGCAGCTATTCAATTTTGTTTTGAATTACATTTAAACGTAGTTCAAATATTTTGAACCCATTGTTGAAAATAATATTGATTTTTTATATTAAACATAAAATATATCATTTTTAAATAAAACTACCTTTCCCCACTTACGCTTTGGAGGCGCAGAGACAGCTTCGCCGGCAAATTCAAATCTCAAATCAATCAGCCGCTCGCGCCGCCGGATGGCTACCCTGTTACTTCATCTTGTAGAGTACATTAGTCATGCAGCAGCGAAAACGGCAATTTGTCGACAGAAAAACTTGTTTTGTCGGTCCCCGATTCAGAGAACGTGCGGATTTGTTTTGTTGCTGTTTACGTCCTCTAATGCGTTATGTACTATGTCAGAATCCACTTTCATGTCTTGCACTACTATGTCAATCCACTTTTGATGGGTCTTTGATATAAAAAAGTGGTATTCGATATATTCGAAACACAGCTTCGATACGTTGTTATTGAAGATTTTGATTCGATAAATTGAAGTATTTCGAAACGATTTATTGTTTTTTAACAGAGAGAGGTTTAATAAAATAAATTCCAAGAGGAGTAGATTATTATAATTAAATGTGCGAACCTTAATTAATAACAGTAAGTCTTTCTTGACAGACATCAATTTTACAACTGGAGTCTTCGGCGTCAGACTTTCTTCATGTCTGCTAATATCCTAAATTTTATTGTTCGGAAACGTAAATCGTTCTTCCCGCTTAATTGATTATTTATTTATGTTATTTTTAAAGAAAACCCAATCAAAATCTGGTATTGGCACTATTTCGGCGA